AGCAGCAGCAACAGCAGCAGCATCAGCAGCAGAAGCAGAAGGAGGAGATATCTCTATAGGAGTTAGAGCTGCTGCTGCTTGTCTTTTTCTCATTTGTAGATACTGCAGCACAAGCTGCAATCCTTGTGTATTAAATTCATCTTTTTCTTTTCCCCTGTCTGTTGCTGCTGCAGCACCTTCTGCTGCAGCAGCAGCAGCAGCAGCAGCAGCAGCAAAAGAAACACAGTCTGTTCCCCCCCCCCTTTTCTTCTCTTCTCTACCCTCTCCTGTCTGCAGCGCAGCAGCAAGAGCAGCACGCACTGACTCGTCCCCCTGCGCCTGCAGCGCCAGCAGCTGTATACCCCGAGCCACCACCACCGACAGCACCCGCGGAACGCGGCCCCCCGGCAGGGGCCCCAAACCCCGCAGCTCTATGGGGGCAACCACACCCGGCAGCACCAGCAACTCCTCCGCCTCAACACTGGGGGCCCCCTCACCACTTGTACCGGGGGCCCCCACAGTGGGGCTGGGGGCCCCAGAGCTCGGGCTGGGGGCCCCAGAGCTGGGGTCGGGGGCCCCCGGGGTGGTGGTGGGGGCCTCAGAGGTGGGGTCGGGGGCCCCCGGGGAGGTGGTATTGGGGGCCTCCGCTGTGGTGTTGGGGGCCCCCGGGGTGGTGTGGGGGCCCCCCTGTGTGGTGTTGGGGGCCCCGTGTTGGGGGCCCCTGAGTAGGTTAAGAAAGAAGGCGAAGTCAACGACATCGACTTGTTCTGCCTCGAGGGCCTCCTCTGGGGGGAGAGAAACTTGTATTGTTTCTTTTTTTATTTTTTCTAGCTCAGAGAGAGCAGCAATACGAGCTGTAAGTGAATCTAATACACCACCATATACACGCATTATGTGACTCCTCCTCCTGCTGCTGCTGCTGCTGCTGCTCCTGCTGCTGCTGCTGCTGCTGCTGCTGGTGGTGGTGCTGGGGCTGGGGTCTTCGTCTATAAGGGCCTGTACGTACACCCCGAAACGACCCAGAGGGTCATGGGGGCCCCCCCCCTCTGTA